AAATTGTTTTCTCTTGAAAAAAGAATAGTTAGGGGGGATCTGATTGAGGTGTTAAAATTGTAAAGGGAATTGACAGTGTTCATCTATCATCTTTTTTATATTCAACAATGAGAATAGTAGGACTAGGGGATAAATTTATATAAATTTTGGCAAGGTAGGAGTCATTTTCAGCAAAGACAGTTTTATTTTTCTAACAGGGTGGTTGGCCTTTGGAATTGGTTGCCTTCAGATTTTGTAGACGCAGTAAATTTAAGTGAGTTTAAGAAAAAGCTTGATAAGTATATGAATGTAAAGGGCTGGGTTTAAAATTTTTTAAATTTATTTTTTTAATCATTTTAATTTAGTTTTGAGGCTGGAACAGCTGAGATGGACAAATAGCTCCCATGTTGTCCCAAAATATTATGTTATGTTATGGTAAAAAAACAAATTCTATCTAAACTTTATTTCAAAATATTTTTCTACACAAATTTTAGAACTTTATTGTAAGCTGCATATTAAAAACAAAACGTTCCATGCACAGTAAGAGAGCTCACACTAACATAAATTAGTATTCTGGTAGTTTTTAACAATTATTAATGACATAAAATTTTTAATAACTAACTAGTACATAAAACTACAAAATCTAATGCACAGTTATTCTCTTTTTGTCTTTAGAATACTTTCAGGATATTAAGGTATCTATCAAGAAAAGAAAGATTAAAAACCTCATGAACACTAATTAAATCTACATTTAAGCCAGACATGACCAATATATTTAGGTTTAAGCCAACCTAGGGTAATTAAAATGTGGTTTTCTTCCTAAACGTCTAGTTAACTGAAACAAAAGAAAGAAAAAGCAAACCATATAAGTGTGCTTGAGTCAGTGGCATAAGCCAGGTATGAAACTTTGGATGGTCATGGAGTTACAATGGACAGGCAGAAAGCATATATAAATCATGAGAGGGAAGTTACAGAGAGCTAAAAAAACAGCACTACATATGACATACTGGGAAACATCAACCAGCTTCTGATTGGATGCACCTGTTTGCTGAGTGGGCAGGCCATCCTGTGGGTATGCCATTGGTTTGACAGTTTCCTTTTAGCACAAAGCTACATAATGGACTATCTGCGTTGAGTCCATTGAATTGATAAAATCTAAAATTTTAGCTATAAGAGTTTGTCACAATATAAAAGACTGTTTAGTTTAGATATTATTGATTAATTTATTTTTGTGAGTAAATATTTCATTACTGTTTAATTTTTGTTATAATAAGAGTTAAAAGCAGATGATTGTGGGAAGTTGTGTTTATAAGTCATTAATGTTGAGACTACTGAATATCGTGTGCAATACATTGATGTCGAGAATACAGAAGGTGGGCAGACGATTAAGTGGTAGAGATATAAGTAGTGTGAGACGAGTGGAAACAGCAGACAGATAATAGCAAAATGGAGTAAAGTTACAGGCAAGAAAAAGTTCGCCGTGAAGTTAGCTATCATAGAAGTGATAGGACTAACAATTAACATACCTTTTAATATGTATGAAAAGGAGATACGAAAAATCATTTATTCTGTCAAAGTGTGGTTCTAAAGTAATTGAATCAGCCTGAGTGCACTTTGACAAAAGGAACAGAGGATCTTCAGAAGAAAGAAACAGAAGTAAAAGCTTTAATTTTGACAACTGGCTAAAAAAATTAGAATTTGGATTTCTGACAGCCTTGAAAGTTACTTCTGAGCTACCATGGATCCCAAGAATGTTGGGAAAAAACTAACAACAGAACACAAAATTTATTAGAATGTTTTATAAATTAAATGTGAAAATGCAAGATTTTAGCTTCATTCATGACATGTACAATCACAGAATATGCATAGACTCAGTAAATGTATATTTTTAATATTATATCTTATGAAATTTTCCATCTATCAAACAAACAAATTTCCATAGACTGACATAAATAAACAGTTAACTTGAAATAGCTTATTATGTCATGAACATGTAATTCCAGTTAAAATGAGTCAAACAATTCTTATATTTACCACAAAGTGTAAGATAATTTTTACCTTGGTATTTCTGAAAATTAAAATTTATGCCTTTTCTAACTTGAATAAAATCAAATAATTCAATTAAAAGGGGTCCAAATACATACCCACGCATCTTCTTACATCTTCAGAATCAGCTTGACAATCATGACTCATGGACAAACAGTCATTACTTGTCTCACATTCATGCTGAATGATAGCTAGATAAAACATTGAATGTTGAGAAACTATATTCATCACAAGTTCATCTAGTGATGTTAACAGTTAGTTAGTGACCATTTCACATTAATACCAGAAATAATAATGTTAGATCAGCATCCATATATCAATTCATGTAGATGGTGGTGTGTATTTTAGTTTACAATCAGTATGTTATATTATTCAAAATTCGTTTTCCAAAACAAAAAAATAATAATAAATGGTATATTTGAGAACAACTATTATATTTCAAAAATATATTCTATATTCAAATATTTTTGAAAGATGTGTAATTAATTCCCTGTTGAGTAAATTTTTACAATATGCTTTATACATACTAAACAAATATCAATTAAATATATATTAAAATCACAGCAATTTGTAGAAAATATGTTCTTTTCTTATTAATACATTAGCTATTTCAAAAAAGTTGTAGTTTTGAGAATATAAAACATTTATTTTCATTCAATTACATCCATGAATTTATTCAGCCCTTGAAATGCATAGCTTTTAAAATTACATAGGCATATTCTTTACTTACGGGCACATCCATCTCGTTTGTTGGGATCCCCTGTGTATCCTTCTTTACATTTACACTGTCCTTTGTGGTTGATAGCAATACACTCTGAATTTGGTATGCATGTAAAGTCTATACAGATCTCTATGTAATGTAAAATATACATATATTTCAGCAATATTATATAGATCAGGTTTAATACACAGTTGGGGAATAAAATACAAATTGCCATTAAAAAAACAACAACGTTAGCATTTTCCCAAACTGAAAATGTATTTCTGATAGACACTCATCTCTTTTGTGCATCTGCCTATGAAACTTGCTTGCCACTAGCCATGAGCTAACTCCCACCTAAATTCACATGTTTAACATGACTGCACTGATGTATGACAACATCATCATGCAACAACAGCCATCCATTTATAGTAGGGTGACACAACCTCAATGCACAATCAATCCCATATGCACTTGCACTTGTGATAACTTCATTCTTAGATGAGGTAAGAAAGAAAGAAGTGCACCGGAAGTGGAGAAGTCAGATGGGGATGTGTGATGAGGTGAGTATCTTTCAGAAGTGGAGAAGTCAGATTAGGAAAATATTAACTTCCAGGACAATAATTCACCTCTTTGCACTGAAAAGCTACAATCCTATATTGAAGTAGTGAAGAGGCCGGTGCAATAGCTGTGTGAAGGTGATACATGCTACACTTTCACCAGAGCACCTTCATTCTTGCCATATTGTGCTAAGCCTGACTGGTGAGAATTTTCCATGGTCCATCACTCCAACAGAAGGGTCTCCCATGCTCCATTTGAAGAAAGGGGGAGAATTTGTGTTGGGAAGACACAGAGAAGTGCCCAGATCCTCATCAGAACATCAGCTGGATAAGTCTTTTACTGGAGAAAGTACAATGGATGACTGCTAAATCTTATTTTTAAAAGCCAGCAAGTGCAAGCTGAAGAAATGGGCAGTCACTTCCCTGGTGCTGACCTTTTCCATGAAAGTCCATGGAATTCGTACAGTCTGGAACTGACAATTGAGTAAATTTGTATAATATGAGGATACTTCAAGTGGTCTTGTGGAACACCCTATCTTGCAGTGAGCACTGGTAGAGTCAGGGTGGAACACTTTTTGTTATCTTGGCTCAATGTAGATTTTGGTGGGATCCCACTTGACAGAAAGGTGGAGAAATGAAAAGGGAAACATACTTACCCATTTCAGAGACAGTGGATATGAGTGAAGTATGGCGACTAGCAAAAGTCGAAATCATGCAGGAGATGAAACAGTCAGAGGATAAAGATAATGATTAATAAATATATGGGGAGTTGTCCACATGCCTGCCTGGAAAATCCAATCTGAGGACTGATAAAAGTGGGAAGCAAGAAGTGCCACAGGGGTACTCAAGAAGGAGTGTCATGTATCAAGATGAGGATCCAAGGGAAGAGGTGAAGAGAATGACACGCATACAGAAAAAGGTGATACCAGTCCTGGTTGAGAGCATCGATAGCCAGAGCCAAAGGATGAAGAAGAGGCAATCAAAAGAGAAGAAGCTTGAAGTTGAGAAGGGTGTTAAAGGCATCTTTGAGAGGCATAGCCAACCAAGAGTAAACTCCATGAAAGACCAGGGGATGAAGAATCAATTCTGTGGGTAGAATGCAGTCTGGCTGATAGAGGTGGTTCGCCACAATGTAGCTCCTGGCACATAACAGGAATGAGCCTAAAATAATAGGTCCAAAGCCTGAAAGCAAAGAGTCCTAGAAGGGGGTGATCCCTTGACAGTTTATGGAGAAAACGACCATGTAAATGACTGGATGATGATAAATTGATTCACCAGAAGGGGTAGGAGGTGAGAACATACCTATATAGAAGAGCAAGAAGTTCAAGCACATGGAGATGAAGTATACACTCGTCCTGCATCCAAATGCCAGAAGTCATGTCACCTTACAGAGATGTGCCTCAACTTGAGAAAGAAGCATTGGTGAAGAGATGGAGATCCAAAATGAGGTGGAAGGGAATGCCAGTAGTAGTATTTGCACAGTCCAGCCACCATGACAATTCCTCGAGTAGAGGAAAGGGGAGAGCCACAATAGAGGACAATGGAACCCAGGAAAGAGTCCATTTGATTCACAAGGTCCGCTGGATGAGGTGCAAATGTGTGCACCTCAAAGGATGAGAATGTGAAGTGTAAATCCTGATGACCAGATATGTCATAGCTCACAAGCAAAGAGGAGAAAGATGAACTCAGTCTGAGACAAGAGATGAATAAAAAAAGGCCAAATGTACCAAATATTGAGTGGGTGTGAGAAAAGACTTGGATATCCTGACAAGCCACCCCAAACAAGTAGCCTCCTGTGAATTAAGAATGAAGGTGTGAGAAGAGGATATTACACAAGAATGGGCCAGTATAAGCCAATCATCTAGTACAAGGAATGACACTCCCAGGCTGCTAAGATGGCAAGTGAGGGACCTCATGATACAAATGAATACAAAAGGGGCTGATTATTTGTAGAAGGGAAGAGAACTAATTGGAAGATACAAATCCAAAGAATGGAACACGGAAATCACCTGGAGGATGAGGCAGTTTGGATGTTTAGGAAAGCATCTGAAACATTAACCATAGCCAACTAAAGACTGGGTGAAAAAGACCATAGACGGGGTTAGAGGGAGAAAAAAAGGAAATGGGAATGAATAGGAGGGTTTGTTTGTTTTGAATTTCGTGCAAAGCTACACGAGGGCTATCTGGACTAGCCATCCCTAATTTAGCATTGTAAGACTAGAGGGAAGGCAACTAGTCATCACTACCCAGACATGACAGAATAGCCGCTGAGAAGAAGAGCAATGAACCTGATATTGGGTAGTGAGAAGATGAGAAAAAGAGGAAGGCTTAGAACCTGGAATGAAAAGGGTAGGGACAGACAGACCCAGATAAGGAACAGGAGTCAAAGGGAATGGTCGAGAAAGAAAAAACCTGGGAAAATAACAGTGACTGAAGCAGTGCAACTTCAGTCCAGATCTCCAATGAGAAATGAACACCACCAAAAACTTCTGGACAAAGAAGAAAAGTTCAACTAAGACCACATGCACAAGAAGGAAGAAGGTGTACAGAAAAGAGGAATGAAACTAGATCCAATAAGTTCCAACAACAGGGGAACTAAGTAAAGAGTGACAGAGTAGAATAAGTGGAAAAAGCTAAGCTGGCAAAGAGAAAGAAACGAATCTCTCCATAAAACCCCTCTGAAGCACGAAGTGTTTTGACAAAAGGTGGAAGAAGGAGAGGGAATACAGGAGGGTGGTGAGAAAAAGAGGAAGAGATGTAAATGGGAACTAGAGCGCAAAATAGAGGGCAAGGGAATCTAGAAAGGAAAGAAAGAATGTCTGCAAATCAGGATAAAATAGTCACGAATAAGAGGGGGCAACAAGGCATGCGAGTATGAATAAGGATCTATTAGAGAAAGAAAAAAAAGCATAAAACCTCAATAACTAGCAAAAGAGGAAATACAAAGTACCCCAAGAATTGGGTTCATGGAGAAAAGAACAGGCAATATGAAAGAACACAGGCAAAAGAGAAGGAAAGGAACATACCTAAGAACGATACCCATAAAGAGATTGGAAGTTTAAGGTCATTCCTTGAAATAGTAAGGAACTACCCAAAGCAAATCAGGTTAAATACATAGTCCAATAGGTTATTCATGACCAAGGAGAAAGAATGTCGGCTAAACGGATGGGAGTAGGAGGCCTAGCAAGCTTGTGGTAACCCACAACACACTGATCATAGGCTGCAGCATCCCCAAGAGTCAATGAACCTCTAGAAGCCATAGTAGAAATAAGGCTTGTGTGTGCAACATTGTCACTCACACAGAACTAAATAGAAATCACTTGAGAATTCATGATAAAAATTACAGCTTTTGAAACAAAAGCTAAAGAAAATAAAATCAAAGTTTCATTAAGAAATGCAAATCTTAAATTGAATTCAAATGAGAAATTTGAACACACCTGTTCAACACAATGCCAAGGAAAAGAATGATACAAGTGCCAGTGCATAGGTGGAGTTACTGTGCATGAAGGTTATGTTGTCCTCCTATCGTTGGAGGGATATTATCACATGATGATGTCATCATGCACCAGTGCAGTTCACATTAAATACTTGAATTTAGGTGGGAATTAGCTCAAGGCTAGTGGCATGCAAACCTCATAGGCAGACGTATGAGGGAAATAGCATTTCTGTGTGTGGAGGAGAATTATCATTGTGGAAATATAAATTTGTTTTGATAGATAATTAAGGACTTCATTGTAGAAAAAACAAATGTAATTTAACAAAAATCTTTAATATAAATCCATTTGGAATGAGATGAAAACACAAGGTAGTCTGTCTTCCTTATCTAATTTGTTTTATGGTCTTTCATAATTTGACTTGTATCTCAGTTAACCTTGGTTATTATAATATAATTTCACATTGAAAAGTTTACAAAAACTAAATATTGCATTACAAATTTTATAACACATTTCTCGTGTTTCACTGAAGTTGTTATAAATGAAATAAGTATTTTAATGTAGGAAAAAACTAGAAGAGAGTTTGAATTGAGTCAAAAAATTATTCTAAACTTTCACAAAATCTTTCTGGTATAAATAAGCAGCTAATAAAAACACACTCAATCCTTTTTTGGATGCACCTTTTTTTCACACCTAAGGTATTTTTGATTAGATATCATGACGTTTTGTCAATGCATACCAACAAACTCCAGCAAGCAAGAAAGTGACACTCAATAGTAACCCACATTAGCTTTAGGATCGCAACCCTATTATTCAGAACATACCTTTACTTTACAAAACCAACCAGAATCTTCAAAATATATGGTGGTAGTCTTTTCTCTCTAAAGCAATGTTAATAGCTTCCTTTATAGTAATGCCATGGAATGTAGATTCACAGTTTCTTGTCATCACCCCCATGCAATTGGTACAGGCATATCAACCATCATTATTTATGCTAACTTGCTTAGACTAATATCATGTGATGCTAAACAATCTTTAATTAGGAGAATTTCATAACATTTAGTAAATTTGTGCTGAAAAATTGGCAATGAATAATCAATAATAATCATCTACCCATATGATTCTTTTGAAGAATTGAGTAAGAAACTACTAATCTAGTTTGCTTGGCCTAACCAATACTTATGTATCTGCACGTACTTTCACCCTATAGTTTTGCCACTCTAGATCAGCCATCTTTAATGCAAATGACAAAAAACTAAAAATGGTTTACATTTACTCTTAGGTGAAGCTGTAGTAAAAATGTTATAATGATAGCTCATGTGACTTATTGCATAAGCATGTACAAATATTTGAATCAAATCTGAGCAGTTTTTGTTGAATAACTTTGCACATGTGGCTTATATTTACACCATATGAGACTCCTAACTGTAGGTTGTAAAGATCCACCAGTGTACCAAATTTGAAGAAAAAAATCCTTATAAGTTAGGTATGTTTTTTTTTATCAAGTAAAATTCCATAATTTTGGTGTGAAAAAAAAAGAAAAAAATCAAAAATTGGAGATGATATATTTCAGGTATTTTTTAACCCTTTCCATACAGGTCACGGGTGAAAGGTCATGTCATCGTGTTTGTTGACTTGCATTCAAAATTTTGTTGAACTACTATTTCATGAATTTATGTCCATAAATTTGGTATCAAAATGTAGATTATATTTCAAATTTTAGTATTATACATTAGTTAATTGCTTAATTCAAAAGTAAATATTAAAAAAATACATACCTAAACATTAATTTTTGTGTGTCATTTGGTATGTTGAATGCAGCATTGGTTCAAATTAGATGTCTGTGATGTCAAAATACAAAGTCTATAGTTTCTTACAAATAAGAAACTCAAATTACTGATATTAACAAGCTAGAATATAAAATAAGGAACTCTTATCTTTTATATTTGCTAAGAAATTGCTCATGTAATAACACAGTGGCACCGTGACCACCTCTTTCCGTTTTTGGAAATTCTCCCTTACACACACTTACTTCTATATATGATATATATATATATATATATATCTCGAAACCTCAGAATGTCCCCCTAGTGGCTTTCTCAGCCATTTTAACGTGCTTGGATACCATCTCTTTTTTAAAACCAAGATTTCAAGGAGGTAGGGTGTGTCTTTAGTCTGCTCGAAATTTCATGTTTTTTTAGACTGAAATACAG